TGTTACTTATTGTTAGACCGATTATTGCGAAGAGTATTACTAAGGCTCTCAGTAGTCTAATCGGTAGTAGGACGCTCGCACAGAATGTAAGAGATCTGGGTTCGACTCCCGGCCGAGGTAATATTTTTCGCAATATAAATTAATTATTTACTTTTTAATATGTCATTCATAGATTTTAATATGCCATTCAACATTATTAAGATTCAAGATGCTATGAACATCAAAATTGTTAAATTGCTATAGATAATTTAACTCATAATATTAATGCGATAATTTCGTAGAGTTTTGCACACATACGACTCGATCATTGAGCTCGGTTATTATGAAATGCGGCGCTTGGAGTTTTCGACTAAAAAGACTCACCAACTGCGTACCGTCGCGTTGTCGACTGAACAACAGTTAGATCATGTTTAATGGAGATATTCTTTACAAGGTTCTTCCTAAATAATGAACGCTTGTTTTTCACAATAGAGATATGCCCAAGGACAAAGACGTACGCAAAGGACGGATACTTTTAGGACAGGTCTCGTATAATTAAGTATATTTTGATGAAACTAAACAGAATTTATAATTCTTATAACAAATTCGAGATTTTACAACTAAAACACATTTGGTATTATAATAAGATTAATATTTTTCAGATGAAGATATTAGATGATCGTGTTTAGACATTACTAGAACTCTAATTAACTTCAACATACTCTAGCAATTTAATTATTGTGTTAGTCGACGCGCAGGTTGGGCAAACGTGCGGTATTGTTCTATGTCGTGTATACTCTATCCTAGCTGTAGTGGAACGAAAGCAAATTTTATCTTCTTCGTTATTTGGTGAAAATAAATATACATCATGTGTTTCATAATGGTCGCGTTCAGCAAACTCAACTGTTTTGCAATCGTTGATTCGTCTCGCTGATTGGATTATACTTTTAGATCTAAAGGAACAGTCCTATCAGCGAAGAATCATATAACAGTTATAAAACTGTTGAATCTACTGAACACGACCATTGCCTCCCTCAGACAAAGCGCGGTAATGCTCATACGCGAGAAATTGTCGCAAAAGCCAATCCATTTATCGCTTTTTCATAAAAATAAAAAAATAATTTTCTATTAATTTCAGCCGCGCGGCAAGCGTTATCGCGTGGGAGCCATAACTCGAAACGCACCCGTAGTAATATGTACCGTAGCTGACAATGTTTTCTCTTTTGATTCGTCAATATAATTTTATGTAGTATACAGTAAATATCAACGAAAAAAAATCCAGCTCAAATGACTTTGATTTTGACATATGTTGTTACTTATAAGTTACTTTTTTGGTTGCCTTATATGTTTGTTATAGAAATTGAGTACAAAAAGTAATACAAAATTGAAACAAATGATAAAATATAAGGTAAAAAATTCTTCAAAAAGAATATGTAGACAAAATGGATAACTTTTTAAATAAGCAACTGTGTGTTTTCTTTACATCAATATTTTCAATCAATACCCATTTTTACTGCTGCTGCTCCAGATTTAATGTTGAACCTAATTTCTTGTAACAAAAAAGGATGCACTGAATTATATATGTAGAAAAACAGGCTTAAAATACGCAATTTTTGAATACTACAGCGGAACAGCCTGTTTTTACTTTTTATCAATGGAAGACGATAATGAGAAGACTTATAGGCAAAGAATTTATGAATGCCAGCAACAATATCAGCGGATTAACACATTATGAAAGTAAGAATCACATTATAAATGATATTATTTATACTAATTTTTGTTTCAAATTTATACATTGTCACCTTTTTTATATTTTAGTATGAGGGGATTACATACGCAGTATATAAAATTCACACATAATTATAATAAGCATTGTGATCCAGCTTTGACCGTTATTGGCTTGCTTCGTGCTTCCTTCTTCTTGTTATTGTTTATCAGTTGTACGATAAAAAGATTCTAATATTTGTTATATTTTAGTGTTTTTAAGGGGGGGGGGTAAGGTTAATTCGATGAAAAAAGAGCATATATTCATGAATTTTTTTATAAGCTATGGTTAGTTCCAGTGTATTTGGGTAATTTTATTTTAATAATACAATGTTTGAAGAATATTTTGTGAAAATTTGAACGAAAAATATGGAGAAACAACACATTGGCACGCAATTTTCGGAGGCGCCTCGAAAAAAAGGTGTCTTGCGGTGCACACGATAACTCGTTACTGGATCATCTGATATCAAAAAACCAAAATTTTTTAGTTAGTTAATAAGTTTCTCAAGGTAACGCTGTCGAGTTTTTTTTTAATCGATTTTTAAATTTTTGATAACACTTGGAAGTAAAGAATCGATTTTTGCTATAAAAAATCGGTAAATTTGTTATTGTAAAATAAATAATAATTACTAAAAAAATAAAAACTCGACAGGGTTACCTTGTGATTTATGTGTAGAAAAAGTGTACCAAATTTTAAAACGATCGGTGCAGTAGATTTTGAGTTAGTGTGCACCGACTTGGAAAATGCTAAGTGTGACAAAAACGCTTTAAAGTTTTGTACAGTAGAAATGACCGAGTGTTTTGTCTATACTTACACAGAGTCATCGATGTATCTTGTATATTATTTGCTCTGCACATTGCTTCTTTCTCTTCGTTTACAGCAGAAGAAAAAAAGTTATTCGCACACGAAACAGCTGCTAGGCAACCGCTTCGCCCAGCTACTGGGCAGGTATACGAAATCGAGTCGGAGCAACGGACACTTAAAATTCTATATCTCCGTTAATTTTGCTCCGATCGGCTTCAAATTTTCGCACAATAATCTTGAGACATTGTACATTCAGATAAAAAAAATTTAAAAAAAATGATCAAACAAAAGTTAAAATACCTTACCCCCCCCTTAACTCCAACTGAAGAACTAAATGTTTAAAAAATAAAAATATGGTTTTGTTATCCATCATTTTTACCAATAATCATTTTACAATAAATTTTATATAATAGTTATTTTTTATCATTTCTTAGCATACGATTAAACACGACTTGATTAAACACAAGCCACCCATAGCGCTTGAGATTAGAAAGCCTCTAGGCATCCGTCCGCTATGAATGGTGATCGTCGATTTTAAAAAAGTAACAAAAAGTTATTTTTTCAAGTAACTTTTTATTCCCTGATTCTTACAATAATGAAAAATTCCCGAGTAAAACACAAAAGTCATAATTATTATAAAGTATACACATCATCATGACTTTACTTATTTATACGAATTTATTTTTAAATATCAAATGAGATGTGTTATGATGTCATATCCTATGATATCATTATAACTTAATTATGTGAACTACATGTTCTACCTAGGTATATTCAACAAAATCGACCGCGAACTGTATACCTGTTTAATAAAAAAGAATCTGATAAGAAATGAAATGTTATGTATATTAGATAGCATTTTTCCGTAACTGGGTATTGTGCTTGTTATTTTTTATTTAGTGAATATTACATACGGTTGTTCATTCACGGTTATAAAACGCGAATGCGTGAACATGAGCTAAAAAGAATTCCAAAAATAATTTTTTCTTAAACCTTATGTCGTAGGACAGACAACTTTTTTAAAAATACTTTTACACATTGTGTTATGTAAAAGTGATTACGATAAGAATATAATTTTCTATATGAAAAGAATTAAGATAAATAATGAAAACAAAAGAAGGGTTGCGAGCCTAATAAATTCGTTTAATTTAACAAAAATAAATACAAAACAAACATTGCGACTCCGATCGAATCATTATATCAATTTTAAAATATATCGGTTATGAGATACATATATATAATTACTAGTATGTTTAAAAATTCTCTGTACTTTTGTGTCTTTGATCGACTACTTGTAATATAGATTTCATTTTCTTGATGATAAATATAAAATTCTTAATTGGAAAAAGAATATAATTCAATATGACATTTTTTATTCGTTATCGCATTGATATTTTATAGTCTTGGCAAACGTTCAGAGTAAAAATATGAATTCTTAATTGAAGATGAAAAAATAATTTATAATTAAATCCAGATTAATTTAGACAATTGTTGGAGCAAATATGCGATGAAGAAAACTTAATGTACATACATACGTTCTGTATCAAGAGATTTTAAAATGAGTTAGAATTAAGATACATGTAAAATATATGAATCTAAATAAGAGTAAATGAAATAAAATTATTGTATGAAAAGATACAATACGTGTAAAATACATATGTATATATTGTACAATGCATATATACAAGCGTACGCGCGCGTGTGTGTGTGTGTGTGTGTGTGTGTGTGTTTATGTGTGCCTAGTTCAGGATTGGTGAAAAATATGTTTAAAATATATTTAATCAATGTTTCAAAAATGTTTTAAGCATGTTGCGTTTCAATTCTATATAATTACAAGTAAGCGTAATTGTAAGTTGTTGCAGTTGTAAAAATTAACCAATCACAGTTGAATATTCTCCTCAAAATCGAGTTTAGTTGATCAATTCTTACAACTACAACCATTTATTACAATTACACTTATGCTTTTGAGAATGGGCTTTATATTATTTAAAAAAACACGTTCAAAACATTAAAAATACATTTTAGAAAGTACAAGGTTATATTTAAAAATTAACCATTTTCTTTTACTGACTTTAATGTGTTGGCACCGCTAATTCTTCGAAAACGCATTTATTCATTTCTAATTGCTACACTGGACGGATACCTGATAAGCTTTCTCTACTCATTCATTTTTAATTAACTATTTTAATTACTCTTATGATAAAAAGAGGAAAAGATGTAAAAAAATAACAAGAAGGGAACGCCGAAAATAATACCTACTTAAAACGAAATAAAGTAAAATTAATGATGAAAACGAGGCACAATGATAGTGGGTCCGACTCGTTCTATATGACATAATTATTATATTACATGCAACGATTTGTTGAGTACACAAAAATGGTATATAAGATTGAGTTGTGTCAATCATTCATTAAACAACTCAAATTTATAGCTCGTTAATTTTAAATATAAATACTCTGAAAGAAAAATAGGGTCTACACATGATTATGTTAGATCTTTTATTTTGTACTTACAGCAATTCGATTGAGAATTAATATTAATTATAAAGATTGTGTGCTTTCTTGTTCGTAATTTTCGTTTCCCATATTGGATTTTTGGTCACATCTTTTATACATTTTTTGAATCACCATCGAATCGGAAAACAACATTCGTTTCACACAGTGAAAATTTGTTAGTCGTAGATTTACAACATTAAGCAGGTCTGTCCAATTTGAGCTCCAAAGCCAAAATTTAGAATCATCTACGCAAAACATTCAATGTATGTAAGATTTCGAGAACTATGTAAAATGTTGATACGCACCTGAGTGACGCTTATCAATACTTTACAGCTCCTGAAATCTTATCCACGTTAAACTTTTTTGCGTCGATGGTTTCGTATTTTGACTCCGGAGCTCAAATTGGACGGGCCTGATACGTATTTGTCGCATGAAATATAATATTACTGGAGCGATCTTTAACGCTAGTTTTGCAATCCAACGAAGAGCGTTTCAAATGATAATCTTTATTCTTTTCTACCCTCTATACTTAACTATGACTGCGCGTGTGCAATACTGTCTACAGCACGTGCGCAATTATAGCTACATATACAAGTTAGACAATGATAAAGACACCTTGAAACATTCTCTCTCAGATCACTCTTAACAAAGGTAACATATAGATCTGCGTTCGTTCCAGTAGTATTTATATTTCAATAGTATTCGTAGATATTGTTCAAATTACTCTTCTTTCTTTTATCTCTCTTTTATTAACTATAGATTATTATAAAGTTAAAGAAAATATTTCGACTGATAGAAAGTACAGGCAAGAAACATTATTACGGCGATGTAAAGCAATCTCATGGTGGAGATGGACGTTGCGGAATTGCACAAATCGTTACTACAGATGTGGCAAGATTCGATTACATCACGTCCTGGTTGTGTCATGGAATTGCCGCATTGACCGTCAGTGACGTCAATTTCGTCATGATATGGAGTAGAACATTGGCGTATGATAATCCGATCGCCGTATTCTGTAAACATAGATTAATTGTTTAATAAGAAAATCAGAGATTTCACGTAAACACTTTGTATGTAGGATAGAATTTTCTAGCTTATAAATCGAAAAGTACTAAATGGAAAAGAATTTTATTATAGTGTTTTAAGAAACTCTCGAAATAAGCTACAAGAATATGTAATGAAAAATGGGGAGTTGCATTTAAAAGTTCAACGTGACCTTGCTTTGACCTTGACAACGCCATCTAAGATCTAATGATACTATAAGACCAATATATGATACTATATTATGTTCCCCGTGAAGTCGACAAACTTTTGTCTGAAACATTTTTCAAGAAAATATTGGGTTGTCCGGAAAATCTGCGCGGAATTCTCAAGCAAAATTCTATTTAAATTCCGCACGGACTTTCCGGACGACCCAATATATATTTTTCAAAAAATTAGCTTGATACGATTGCTCTGTTACATCCCTATGCAGAATGTGTGCGGGATCCACTTGTACTGTTCATCTTTCGCGGATAGATAGAGCTATAAATAGAAAAGTTTTTTCCTTTTTCTTTTATTTTTTTATTTTGCAAATTTCTTTTTCAAAAATGAAAAATTGAATTAATAAGGATTTATAAATAAGTATGCATCGATCTCTCTCTCCACGCAATTCAGTCAGTGACAAAATATCAGATATAGATATGTATTATACATATATTGTTATTAGGCACGCTTCTTTCGCTATGTCTATACATATATAGTAATCGCAATTATCTCATGACGCTGAATTGTATTTTTATTAATTAGTTTTCTATTGAAAAACTTATAAAACGCGTGCGCGCAGTAAAAGACTTTACTGCTCACAATCATTCTACTTATCTACGAGGAGTAGCATAATAATTAATATATACTCTATATATATTGTTTTATATTTTAGGTCACTTAAAGTTGATCTTTAGATTTATAATTATAAGAAATCGTATATTATAAGAATCGTGATTTACGATTAATAAAATATCTTTGTAATATATTCTTTTTATGTATTTTTTTGTATTTTATTCTTTACAGAAAACAACAAAAGTAGACGGAAACTTCTCGGAAAATCCTTCAATAGTGCGCAATTGGGTCATCTTTTCTTATGCACTTACAAGCGCAAATCCAGCGTTGATTTAACAGCGTGATTATTATTGTCGCTTACGTAACTTTTGCATTTACGTGGCGGCCGTGCTCGCTATTTCACGCACGCTGCCTCGTCATGCTAGAATTCCGTCGAATTGACGGAATTCAACGTGCGGTTAGTACGTTCGATTTACCATGAAACATGCAATGACAGATTCAACAACGCGATGATAACGCGCGTAAAACAGAGATAAAAGAAAACGTGTATTACCCTGGCACCAAAATTAATCGTAATCTCATTGCGGTATAGTGACAATTTTTTCTTGTAGGTGTGGCACCGGCCTTGTTTTAATGTCCAATTATCATCGTTATTTCTATGCGCGCCGGCATGACTCAATCGCGACGCGTATTACCGTGTGCGTCGTCACAGTCTTGAAGGAAAAGGATACAACGCATTAAAAAGATGCCACTTTACAATGCGTCATCCTCCTAACAAACGAGCATGTTCGTATGTATCTTGTGCTCGCAGAGCAGAATTTTTTGCCATCACGATCACGCGGTAGATTTTTTCCGCGCTATAGAACACGTAAACGATTGAAAAACGGCGGATATTGGAATGCGAAGAAACGTGCGTTACTTTGAAGTGTTTAAATATTATTGATGTCCACGTTTCATAAACTTAAGACATATTATGTTGTATAATTAAAAAGTATTGAAATCGCCATGTTTAAACAGTAAAAGAAGACAATCCAAAAAATAATTTCAAAAATCCTCAAATTATAAAAAGTATTTAAAACACAATAAACAAAAAATTTAAATATTATCCTGAACTTTTAATATTAATATCTATAGAAACACCCAAAATATATCCAGCTTTCATTGGTTTTAATAATATATAAAACTGAAGTGAATAAGGCTAGAGTTATTTATTGAGAGAGTTATTTACTGCAGTAATTATTTTGCGCTTATACTTTTTTACTATATATGTATTTTCTATTAGTATATAAACACATTCGTCTTCTCAAAACTTATAATTCAGAATAAACGTTCCAGCCATAATTTTTAGTCATCTTTAACGTTTACAGTTAAAATTGTTTGCTATATGTTCCCTTGGTGAAATTTAATTCATTTTTATGTATTATGAACATCTCTGCTTGACTGTTGATCGGCTGTTAAGATCAAAAGTCTAGGGAAATATTATACGTTACGTATATTATAGTATATTTTCCTAATTTTTCGTATATGTTTCTTTTCAAGAATAGAACTTCAGTTCAACGTCAGCGGTCAAATGGAGATATTCATAATATACAAAAATAAATTTAAGTTTCACCATGGGTATAATATACATAAATATAGCAAACAATTTTAAATGTAAACATTGAAGACAGTCAAAAATTATAATCGTAACGTTTGTTCTAAATTATTGTGAGTTTCGAGAAAATGTACTAATAGAATATCGTATACGTGTGTAAGCAAAAAATTACACAAATAATTATTGTAGTAAATCTCTCATTAGCCCTATCTACTTCATTTTTATATTCTATATACTATTATATATAGTATATTACTTATATATCATTTTTATGTAAAAAATATTCTTCTTCCATTTCTGGTTCAAAATCATTCAAAAGTTCTAAAGATTTCATTTTTATGTCATCAATTCTCAGTTCTTTTTCAGAAACAAGAAACCTTTTCATAATAAACTATCAGAAATTCCTAATAAAATTAAAATACAACAGCTTTTAGACAGATTTTATTCTACCAAATATAAATAACAAACAATTGCTCTCAAAAATATTAGACTTCTAAATTAATTTTTACATAGAAGTAAACGAAATCACATGTTAAAATACATCTCATTTAGAAAATATAGTTCATATATACGTATACTTGTATTATTTTTCTATACTGAACTGAAAGTGTACATCAGAATGATTGGTCTTTCCAACTTCATGAAAACCGCCTTTTGTTTTAAAAAAGTTATATTAGAATGTCAGTAAAAAAAATGTCATAATGCTACACTTCTTTTGAATTCATAACAATCTGTGCTGAATAAATATATTGGAATATTTTTATAAGAAAATTTACATGTTCACTATATTTACAGTGTTATTCTGGACAAAAATGAGCAGGTAACTTTACCTCGTTTGACGATTTTGCGACAGATGGGTTTTGAAGAGCCGTAGGGACCTGGATCACAAGTCCTTATGTGAAACGCAGCCTGATGATCTGTAGTATTCATTGGATCATTACACATGACATTTACATTAGATGAACACACCCAACATCGTAAAGCGGAACCTGTTAAGACACACAATGAAAAAATCATAAAACATGATTTTACGATTTAAGTGTCAAAATAATATAAACGCACTTAAACATAAAAAAAATAATATATTATTTAATAATATATATTTTCTTCACGTTTTCACATAGAGTTATTCATATATAGTTATAAAAATAAATTTGGAATACATCTTTATCATATTGTATGTAGTACTCGATTATAATAACAATATAGGTATTCTTTTTTAAAGAATGAACTTTTGTAAAAAAAAAAAAAAGTAAGCTCTTGGATATAATTATTTTTTTCAAAAATGTTACTAATGGTGAATAAACAGAAATAATTTTATCATAAACTTTTATATATATATATCATTCTAAAATTATATCAATATAATACACAGCCAACGCAGTCTTCTGCTGTTCACAGATGATATTTGTGATAAGATGTAATTGCCCACCAGGCAATGTCGACACCGCCTACTTGTGGACTTTGTCTGTAATACGTATATATAAATATACAAGAAGTGTTCATACAATATTTCAAATATTTTATTAATATTTGAACATTCTGTGAAAATTCTTTTGCTGTTCTGGAATACTCGGCACGTTGGAAATACGAATGAAATTATTCCATGGATAATTAGGACGTTAATTGAATAATGTTAATTGAATAAGTCAATAATATTATCACTTCAAAATTCCTTTAAAGTAATTTACTAATAACACTAAAAATTGCTTGATTCCTCTACATATTTATCCAAAGTTCTATTAAAATCTAAATTTTTAGATTCGTAAGATTTTCTTCATTCTTTTTTTAATAATTTCTCTTAGATAAAATATAAGAATAAAAAAAACAGATAAAACACACTATAAATTAAATATTAAGTCAATTTTTATAAAATTGTAGTCCAATTAAAGATGTATTTAAAGTTTGCACTTGAGACATCAGCAAAATATAAATTACGGAAAAATTCACAGAAATAAATCTAAATTGAAATCATAAAGAAGATACCTGCGTAATTTTATAAAGGAAAACAGATGCGAGTATGATTAAGAAGTGATGTAATGCTGAATAACTATAATGGATATTAATGGCGCACGCCAGTTTTGTACACAATCTAGCTGTAGCCATTGTAAAAATGCATTGAAGCACGACAAAGTTTATAACTTCAAAGAAAATGTCAGAAAATAAAAAAATCATATATATATATACATATATATATATATATATGCAATATATGTTTTTAAAATTAGGATAAGAGATTTTATGTAACATGTAATTGTTAAATAACAATGACAAATTATCTTGTTTTTTGTTTTATATTTTTCTAAACATAATATACTATTTTGACGTTATATTCAGCGCAAAATAATCTTCAAAATATATTCGAAGAGAATTTAGTGTTGAATTGTTTTGCAATTGTGATATACTTATAAGGGTGAATTTAAATGTTAAAATTTCGGGAATGTGTAGGGGATCGATAAAGTAAAAAAAGAAGTCCTTTAGAGATATGCACATTTTTACTTCATTTTGGAAATTGCAAAGAAAATTTTTTGGTATTAATAATTATAATTACATACTTATAGTCATTATAAGTATAGCCATAAAATGATTAAAATTATATCATAATGATTCAAATAACTCGTAAAGATATAATAATTTTGGGGGAACAATCATAGTAGTCATAATTATAATTATAGTAATATGTAATTATAGTTACAATTGTTATAAATAACAAAAAATGTTCTTTTCGTTTAGTTTTTTTGTTCTCACGCTGTTTCTAAAGTATCATTATCACTAAAGTCGTGTACAATAATGTTTCGTTTTTTGATAAAAATTTTGGTTATATTTCTGCTTTCCTTTTATAAATTTGTCAGTTATTCATTAAAAGTCACGAATGAATTGCGCCTGTTACAATATGCCGTGTACGTAATTCTAATGTTGAATATGATATAAATTTTTATGTACGCAGTGCCAAGACAAGGGTGTGGCGAGCAAGGCATTTGCCTTATATAAAACATTTAAAGAGATACAAAAATGGCAATATAATTTTAAAGGCCTACATATTTTAATTCATTACTAATGATGGTTTTAGTTTACGATCTACTTGATGCTACAAATATAGAATCAACTTTCATTTGCATTTTAGATCTTTTAAAACTAATGATTATTTTTTATTAATCAAACTTTGTGTGAAAGAAATTTTAATAAATTAAAGTTAATGCAAAATTATTTGAGATTACCACTATAAGTCAAGAAAATTATCAAATATACGAATTCTTCTAATTAAAAACGAAATATATGTAAAAGGATATAGATTTTGATATAGTATTTCATAATTTCGTAAATGAAAAGTATTATTGTGATTTTAGTAACTTTATTTTAAAAATTATAAAATAACTTTATTTTGTTGCTAACATATACATATATTTAAATCTATATGCTTATAATGACCAACTCCTTTTCTAACGTACAAGTAATTACGTTAAATTAATATTAATGTATTACTTATTATTAATGTATTAAAGAAATATTATTTATCAAGGGATTTTTTCTTTTTCCTCAAATACCAAAATGTTTGATTCTGGCTCTGCGTATATGGTGTAACTGTAATGTTACAGAAGCGATGCGAGAATATGCGCGCCAATTTCCAAACAGAAGAGAGATCGGCGCGTCACATTACCAGAGTAATGTGAGTTGATCAGATCAGTAACTACAATACAAGCTATCCGTACTAGATGCTTGCATTGTTGCACAAGGTCAAAATTTTAACAGTAAATTATAATGAATAAATAAGCGTGAATAAAAAAGTAACAAATAAGTATAAAGCTGAAAATTACATTTTGTCTTTTTTCGCTGTTTTTTCCAAAACAAAGCAAAAACAAGCATATTTTTAAAGGACTTTTTTCCTTAATTTATTAACCCTCTATACGCTCCCAAAGTTTGCTATTTAAATTCGGGACATTCTGTGTGCGTGTGTGCGTTATATACACACATACATATATACATATATATAATTTTTTACATAATACAATTTCACATAAGCATATGCATATAAAATTCACTGAATAAGAAAGGGAAAAAATATTTAAAATACATTTTCTTTTAATATATCTATACAAACAAGACAGAAACTACGATGTTAGTGACTTCATCTATGACTTACGACTGTCTAAAATAATTACGAATACTATCACTTTTCTATGTCTACATCCATTTTGTTTTATAAGAAGATTTTTTTAAAATAATGTTTTGTGCATCAGATTAGCGCAATCTCACCTGAAGTTATGAAAAGGGCTAACCCAAAGATGATTATCGCAATACGTTCGGTGGAAATCATTTTTGATATCGATCAATTCACCGAAACCGCAAATTCTCGACTCTGCTACGTAGAAGGCTTCGTGAAGAAAATCCTTTCTCGATTAAAACGTTTTAAAAAGCGATTTGTAGTGTCGAACAATCTGGACGGTAAGTATTGCCGATGCCAAACGTGTCCAGTACGATACTGAGGAACCAACACCCTCTTTGCCAAGAGCACTCCTCTCTCTCTCTTCTCTCTCTCTCTCTCTTTTTTTCTCTCTCTCTCTATCTCCCTCTTACATCTCCCTCTTCCCTACTATTTGTTCGCCGATTGCTATAAAGTTTCTCTTTTTTTGCCTAATATGCGATTCCTTTTGCGAGTCAAATAAAATTCATGTATATCCAATATAAATATATGAAGTGTAATGTTTAGTACTTTTTCTCTACGTATACTCTTGAATTTATTTGTAATAGTCTTTGATAAAAATACGATGCACATGACGAAACTAAAAAAAGTATAAATGAATATTTTATTAGAATAAATTCTCTTTTCATTCATCCTTTTTTCTATATTTCTTTAAACAATTTCTGAAATATTTAAATTAACATGACAAAGTGTGTCTTACCGACTTATTAAGAGAGGTCAAGGAAGCTTTTAACCCTGCTGAGCGTTACCAACTTGACTCTGGTATTTGACCTGGACCTCCTGATAATTGTTTCCGCACCGTTCATTCATGTTCCTAATGAACGTACTAGTATATGTGCGTTAAACAAGAAATGATAAGTATATTAAACTAATAATAAAGAGAGACAAGGGTTTACGAGCAAACACACATTCGTAAAAATATTTAATTTTATTCTTATATATTGCGAAGAATATCATGTAATTTTGGCGTTTCGTCCTGGCTTCCACTACACTAGACTCATCAATAAGGTATTGTAGTGGAAACCTACTTTATACGCCTGAGAGAGTTATTAATCGAGAGATTCTATATAAAGATAAGTTTATTATTAGTGTTACTGCAAGAGGAAAATATTGCATACTTTAAAGATCTGTAGCTCATTTATTAACATTAAATTTCAATAACAAGCTATTTTATTATCAAAATATTATCGACCTTAGAACGAATAAAAAAAAAATGTATAATTTGCCTTTAACCTTTAACACACACACACACACACACACACACACACACACACACACACACACTTGATATTATTTATACATCATATATGACTAATCTAACAAGCTATAAGTATATAATTATATAAGTAACCAATATTAATTTCTAATTATTTCAGATGAGAATTAGTTTTTATTTCTGAAAATGTCATTGTTAATAAACAAAATAAAATAATTTTTAATAACTTAAACTAGACATTATAAAAATTTATACACAATATATTTATTAGGTATCAAAACTCTTGTTGAAATGGTCCTCTTTATCTATGTTGAAAATAATTTTTATTTTGTGTAAATCGATTTTTTTACATATTATATTGCGTTTCGTAATTTACTGCAAGTGCTGAAAATCTACAATTTTTTTACATAATATACGTGTGAATTATAGATTTTTAATACTCACAGCTTGGTAAATAAATATATATATTTATACATATAATTATTATTTATTAATATTATTATTTAATATACACATATATATACATGTGTGTAACTATTACTTATCAATAATTCTATAATTCTGATTAAATTATAAAGAATTCCTATTTTCAGTTTAAATGCTTTAATTATTTAGTGTGAATTTACATACATTTCTGATTCTAGAAATTGCGTAACGAATTGTCTTTCTACTTGAAACGCATTCAGGCACAGAATTATTACCAGAAATAATATCACATAAATATTAAATTATACAAGAAATGACAATTATGTAATACGAGGACTGATAAGAGTCAAATTAGTACAAATAATTTATTAAAAAATTTAAAACAATGGTGAAAAACTTGAATAAGGACGTTTTTATCTTGTCCAGAATGTCTATCACATCATTTATCTTCAAAATAATGTTTTATAATATATAACATCGTTGCGGTTTGAAATATTTTTAATTGTTAAACACACATCTAAGGAGAGTTGAATCACACAGCCAAAACGTGTAATGTAATTTATGCGTAGCTAGCTTTTTAGTCAGATGTAAATCAAGTTTTTAACCATTTTTTTTAATTTTTAATAAATTATTTGTACTAATTTGACTCTTATCAGTCCTTGTATTACACAATTGTCATTTTTTATATTAAGAGTCCTGTTATTGAATTATTATTTTTAAATTGTATAAGCAATTTAATAATTTTTAATATTTAAAAGCATTTATTAAGAATATACGTTATGTGATGTTAATAATTATTATTTGAAAAACTATTAATAATATTTTATTGAGAAAAATATTACCTCGGTCGGGAATCGAACCCGGATGTTACTCATTCCGTGAGCGTCCTTACAATTAGACTACTGAGACGTAATATTCTTCGTAATGACAAGTGGACTATTGATGGAAACATTGTGTTTCAAGTATAATAATTTGTTAAGTATAAATTTTGATACATAAGTAATTACAACGACAGCTATGATTAAGATGATAATAAATTTTTGTTACAGTTTTTAGAAACTTTGTTAGAAAAAGAATTGTCCCTTCAATAAAAATAAAGATATTGTTAGGAATTGAATAACACAAATAAATTTAACTGTTTCTTGTGATAATATAACTCTAAACAACATGGATTTAAATTATTTATATTATTTAGGAAGTTATATAATCTTTAGGATTAAACAAAGTTGATTTATGATATTTGTATAAATGCTACAGGAAGTATTAATTTTATTACATTTTCGTATGCTGAACTAACACGAGCAAGATATTTTAACGAAATAATAATTAATAAGGCTTTATATGTATTATATAAAATAATGTAAATATAAAAAAGGCAAAGAGCCAAGTAAATTAACGAACTATTTAATTCAAACAATCATACATAATACAAACGTTTCAACAGTCAACTCCGATCAGGTCATTTTCAATGTAACAAAAAATTAAAAAATATTTTAAATTAAAATAACAATTGTAAATATTCTTCGTTAAGTATAATAATTTCAATTCGATAAGATTCAGTCAATTTTGGTGTCGTATGCATAATTAATCCTAATTTGAAAAATACATATAAATAAAATTCTAAAACATAAAGTATTAATATAAAAGTTTAATTTACCTTGTCGAAAATAAAAGAAAAAGAAGTAACAAGTACATAAATAATCTCTTTGGTCATTATATTAAAACAGTATTAATAAAAATTGAGAAAGATAATTTGCAGTTACCAAAACTAGTACTGATCATTGTGATTACAAATAAGATAATGTCGATGGTCTAGAAATCAAAAGGAGGAATTATACCGTGTGTCTGTTTTTTAATATGAACCATCTCAGATATTAATCTTTTATTATAAGGTTCTATATCTAAGATTTCCATATTGTTCCGTTTAAAATTATAATTCAATTTCAATCTATGGTTAGTTATTACCGATCAAGGAGATATTTTTTAATTTTGTTACATTGAAAATGACCCGATCGGAATTGAAATGTTTGTATTATGTATGATATTGTTTGAATTAAATAGTTCGTTAATTTACTTGGTTCTTTGCCCTCTCTTTATATTTACATTATTTTAACGAACTCTTTGATGTTTATAAGCAGTCACTATTTTTTTAGAAACAAGTCAACATTTAAATATTTTTATTGTAAACATAAAAAAGATTTTCCATGCATATTTTACATATGTTTATTTAAAATCTATAAATTTAAATAATTTTTTTTTCAATGTGTAATGTAATCAATTTTATCATTCCAAGTTGTCACAAATTAAAAAAAATTATAAAACGTTTTATTATTTTTAAATTTAAAAAAATGTCTATAATATTACATGCGATTCGATAAAAATTCCATGTTTGCAATAAGCAAAAGTGCCACTATATGTATACTAAGATAAAATAAGTTTATTGGTTTTTTAGTTTATAAATTTTTATCGAACTAATTATTGAATAAAGAAGATATTATACTGCAATTAAAATAAAATAATTTAATTTGTTTTTTGAATTTTATGAAGTTTATATTGAGTTAATTATTGTATTATATAAAGATAAATATTATTTTTGTTTAAATTATAATTTTATTTTTTATAATTTTTTTTGTTTTAATTATAATATGATTAATATAATATTATTGTATTAATTATACATCCAGACAGCACACATAGAACATCCATTAGACATTAAGTCTTGGTTTCAATCTGGTTCAAACATCCATATGGACTTAGTATGAATGTTTTAAAAATTTACGTCATTCGGCGGCCGCTAACGTTCTCAACTGTGATTGATCAATTCGCTTAAGCCCATGGCACATACAAAAACGTAAAGTCCATGGCACATACAAAACGTAAGGCCGTAAAACGTAATCAGTAAGCGAATTGGCCAATCACAGTAGAGACCGAAAGGCCGGTAGCGAATCCAATGTTACGATTTCCTTACTGATACGTCTTACGGCCTTACGTTTTTCTATGTGTTTCTGGCTTAAGGCCGTAAAACGTAATCAGTAAGCGAATTTTGGCCAATCACAGTAGAGACCGTAAGGCCGGAATCAGACTACGCATTGAAAATTGAGATTGAAGATTAAAAATTGAAATTTAACCAATGAGAATAAAAAAATTTTTGCTTTTATTATTTTGATTGGCCAAATTTTAATCTTTCAATCTTTAATCTCACTGTTCAATGCGTAGTCTGATTCCGGCCTAAGGCCGGTAGCGAATCCAATGTAAAGGTTGATTTATACTGGCCGTAAACTGTTAACTTATGCCGTAATCTGTAAAAATTGACCAATTATAATCGATTATTCCCCTCTCATTCGACTGTGATTGGTCAATTTTTACAGATTACGGCATAAGTTAACAGATTACGGCCAGTATAAATCAACCTTTACGATTTCCTTACGGCCTTACGTTTTTCTACGTGTTACTGGCTTAAAGTCCATGGCACATAGAAAAACATAAGGCCGTAAACGTAATCAGTAACCGAATTAACCAATCACAGTTGAAAACGTAAGCGGCCGCTTAGCAAAATCCTGTTTTCTGATTGGTTGCAAAGTTGTCGTACGACGAAAATCGGATGCAGTGTGAATTCAGTTTAAATTCTAGTTAGTACCTAGACTGCGTTCAGCAACAGTTTTGCAACCGTTTTATGATTCGTCTCACTGATTGGATTATACTTTTAGATCTAAAGGAATAGTCCTATCTTAGCAAAGAATCATAAAACAGTGTAAAATTGTTGAGTCTGCTGAACGCAACCTATATTAAGTGCACGATGTAAACTAGGCCAGAGAGCTTAGTATTCGTTGGTATTCCTATCAAGTGCACGATGTAAACTATGCCTATAGCTACCTATAGCGCAATCTGAAAAAATTCTTTTAAGACATGTCAAATGGAAGTGATGGAAGTTGTATCTGTGTGTGAACGATAAAACGTGTCTATGGTGTACGATAATTCCGATTGCAATTATATTTCTCCTAGTAGAGAGAGAGTAGAGTACACCTCGAACAACACACAGATCGAATGTCGTGAGCAGTTACCGTATCTATTACAATTTTTGCCAAATTGTTAATTGTAAGTGTATCGCAGTATAAACTGTTCTTGAAGTTTTTTCTAAGGCCGTATGATGTTCAGTTTTAATATATGAAGCGTAAGAGAGCTCTGTTTATTGATTATCTAAAATTTATTTAATATCATTTAATTTCATTTTTAGGAAATATTACTTGAATATATCTTAAAAAGAATAAGAACATATATTTCTCATATAGAACATATATTTCGTGTATTTTGTTTTCAATGAGTCTTATTTATGAAAAGATTTCGAACATTTCATGAGAAGGTTTATATTTGAGCATGAAGGCAATGGTGTTTATGTAAATGCTTAATTTATAACAGGAATGTCTCATATTACGACTACATCAAGTGGGATGGAGCGTAGTATTCACGAAATGTTGAAAGATGCACCCTCTCTAAATGAGAGTGATAGTGCTGTACATACTGGAACTCCTCCGCCTCATGTACCAAACAACTGCAGCAATGATGGTCATCCGAGACCAGCCACCATAAATTTGAGCCTAGGAAGCCCTACTACTCCGATTTGTAAGTATCAAATACTCTCTTGCATGTATTTACTGTCGAATGGGATGATACAGCATTAAAATTGAAATAAAAGACATCTGTATGCCTACAGCAGTAGCAGTTTCACCGAGTACACCTGTTCAGAATGGTGATACACAAACCATGCGTACCACCCAGAGTAAAATTGAGAGTTTGAAAAATTGGAGTATTTCCACATACAAGTGTACCAAACAATTAATGTATGAAAGATTAGGAAAAACGTCACGTACGGTGGACTTTGGTGAGTTCTTGCCTAAAAGATTTATGGCAATATTTTTTAGGCTTTCATAGATGTTTTCTTTAGAAGTGCCAAAAAGTTTGCAAGTTATTATTGTGTCGTGATTGCTAATATAACATTTCATGAATCTTTGCTATTTACTTCATCAGAATGAGAAATATACTAATATAATACTTAGTATGCTCTTCATCCTGATAGACAGTAATCATATTCTTTGGCACTTCTGAATATTTCTCAGTCAATTTTTATTGTTTTCAAATATAATGAATACTAATTAAATGATAAAAAAAACTCTTTGTATAAAAGTAAATAATAAACCAAGGACAATATAAGAGTCAAACAATCAAATTAATGTAACGTTTAATTCATAAATATAAATATAAATAAATATAATTGATTATAAATATAAATAAAAAACATAACTATGTATTTAAAAAATATAAAAAAATACTTTTAAAAAAATATTACAAGTTTCGACTTCTGGATTGAGTCCTCTTTAGACATTGGTTTTTCACAGTAGTCTGTGTACAAATAAAATATTGAAAAAACACATAGGTGTGTTACAATATAAGCCCCGTGAGTCTCCATGTGGAAAAACGATATAAACGATTGGAAGGTCATATGTGTTCAAAAAATATCTTTGTAAGATCTAATCAAAACTTGATAAGAATCTTTTCTCATGAAAAAACGAATTTAAATTATAACAACATGTCAAAAATTCCAAAAACAAACAACAAGGCCACATGTAAAATAAAAATAGTAGAATCGATTCATCAACATAAGTATTATAATTATGGTCCAAATAAATATAGTGTAGCAATGCAAGTTAAAAATTAAACCACATATAAAATGTACTTTTAATGATCGGCGAATTTGAACAAAGAACATTGCGTATTAGTTACATAAAACTAAATGTGTTACTGCGGACGATCAATATAAATTGAGAGAGGTGATAAACTGAGAGATGATAAACTACTCAGTATCGAAAAGTTAAACTTTATTTACAATGGGTACAAGTCTTGTGGAGACTTTCAGTGTCAATTTGTAAGTTAAAATTATTTTCCTGTTTTTTAATATTGAGTATCTCAGAAATTAAGCGCTTTCTATAACAGGGCTCCTCATCTAGAATTTTTATGTTGTTCCATTGGAAATTATGATCATACTGCAGTCTATGTTCGATTATAACAGGCCAGGCAGACGTATTGTGTCTAATGTGATTACGGTACTTGGTGATTCTAGTTTTCAATTATCTGCCCGTTTATCCATAAAACGTTTCACAGTTATTACATAAGATCTTATATATTATGTTATTCTTAGATATATGAGGACGAGTCCTTTTGCACTTTGATATATTTAACCATCTTGTTACAACTGTGGAAATATATCCTGATATCGTTATTAAACCACTTAAATTTCTCTGTATGGAAAGGAATAAATGGTACCGTAAGCCAAGATGCAGATTCATTGTCAATGACATTGTTTTTCAAATCTTCGTATACTGTATATTTGTTTTTTAGCAGATGTTTTATTTATTGGTTAACAGTGTCAAAAATAAACGATAACCGTTATCTAATAAAGTATTAATAATTAGAGTTATATAAATTTTGCGAGCAATGTCATTTTTCCACATGGAGACTCACGGGGATTATACTGTAACGAACTTACGTGTTTTTTTAATATCTTATTTGTACACCAACTACTGCGAGAAACTGATGTCTGAAGAGGGAATCCAGGAACCGAAACTTGTAATATGTCTTTTTAAGTATTTCTTTGTATTTTTTAAGTAATTATGTTTTTTACATTTATATTTATGAACTAAATGTTACATTAATTTGATTGTTTGATTCTTACATTGCCCTTGGTTTATTATATATATTATTTATAATAAATACCTATTTGTTTCTATTTTTTAGAACTTGAAACACAGATTGAGTTACTCAGAGATACTCAGAGAAAATATTGCAATGTTTTGCGATTATCGCGAGCTTTGGCATCACACTTTCATCATGTTGTTCAGACGCAACACGCTCTTGGAGAAGCGTTTTCTGAATTAGCACAAAAATCGCCTGAACTTCAAGAGGAATTTTTGTATAATTCGGAAACGCAAAGAAATTTAACTAAAAATGGCGAAACACTTCTAGGGGCCTTAAATTTCTTCGTTTCCTCAGTGAATACCTTGTGTAATAAAACGATTGAGGACACGTTGCTCACAGTGAGACAATACGAAACTGCAAGGTATGTGATTTTTATTTTAGATTTGTTTTTCCATTTCATGTCGAATTTTAGTCATGCTATTATAACATAATAACTATATAGGATAGAGTATGATGCATATAGAACAGATCTAGAAGCTCTTGTGCAAGCTACAAAATCAGATAGTAATAATGTGGCAAGATTAGAAGAAGCACAGGCTAGTTATGAAGGACACAAGCAGAATTTTGAAAAATTGCGCTCTGATGTTTCCATTAAGTTGAAATTCTTGGATGAAAACAGGGTATTCTTTCTTTACAAATTACTAATTAACAATTGACTAACAAATATATTCTAATATGTATGTTACTGTTTTAGATTAAAGTAATGCATAAGCAACTGCTGTTGTTCCATAACGCTGTATCTGCTTATTTTTCGGGAAATCAAACCGCTTTGGAAGCAACTCTCAAACAATTCAACATCAAGGTGAAATCACCAAACTCCACTTTACCGTCGTGGCTGGAACAGTAGTTGATTTAAATTGAATATTTCATCCTACACTGTAAAGGATATACAAGTGCGTTCGTTTACCGAATTAGCCCGAGTTGTAAAACGCAGAAAGTAAAGGTAACAGTTATCAAAAAAGTTTGACGTACATAAAAATTGCCAGTACATATTGTGAGCTGCCGTTGAGTTTAACAACTTAATAAAGAGTGAAAAATTGATTCACAATGTAGAAACAGACTGAATTCAAGGTATAATATTGATTATTAATATTATTATATTTTATATGTATATATATTAAACATATATATACATATATAAAAATATATATATGCATTGTGATATTACGCGCGCGCAACACGTATATCATGACATTGATTGATAAAAGAATTATACAAATCAGTAGAATCTCTAAATAATTTAAGCAATGTTTCGATAATTTCTAATACTTAACGTTTGAAGGCAATAGGAGAGGGAGATATTTAATTTTTCTATTTCTCTCACAGAAGTTTTAAAATGTAAATACATAATATGATGTAACACAAATAGATCCTTTTATTTTACAGTATATTATGGATAAATAAATTACTTATTATTATATTATCACACATAGATAGTAAACGTACAGCTTAATAACGATGAGTATGCCCTGTTTTAAAAGACTTATTTTTAATTATTCAAATTACACATCGTATTATATTTCAAAGTTTTAAAACTATAATATGTGGCAGAGGATTTTGCACACACTTGATATGAAATTGCCTTTATAAAAAATTCATTCAAACTTTAAATCGACGACCACAAAAAATGCTTGTTTTTCGGTTCTCGATTTTAGAACTGAATTTTATGTCAAATGATAGCGTATGTTGCGACATTAATTACAAAAAAGTTTTACGTTGAGCATACGATTAGTTTCAGAAATATAGAGCATCAAAGGGGTCATCAACTATTAAGTAAGAAAATGTAACACTATTAACTACGCTTGATAGCATAAAATTTTGTTGAATTTTTTTGAAAGTCAGTATCTATGGATTCTTTAAATTACTGATAAATCTGTGTTTGATGTCTCATCATGTGTGAATTCTTAGTTGACATAAAATTCGATTCTAAATTCGAGAACCGAAAAGTAGGCAAAAAACATCTTTTTTGCGGTCGTTCTTTTATAATAAATTATACGTTAATCAGAAGTATCAATGAACACAAGGAACTTGTCTCTAAAAAGCATAATAAATAATAATTTTTATTGAAAAATTAAAATAAATAATAGATAAAGGTCTACATGCCAAGCGGGATGTTTGTTGCTAAATACTAAATAATAAATCTTTAAATAAAAGCACAAACGTTTTGATACCTCTATCGGGCCGTTCTCAGTGTCAATACAATTACGTTTAAAAAAGCTAGTACATAATGTTTTAAAAAAATTGATAATTAAATTTGTAAAATCAAACATGCGACAAAATGTAAAATCGCTCTTATAAATTTTGTTTTGCAATTTTTATTGGTAGTGAATGATCGTACAGCTATAATGTAACTGCAAATTGTAAATTTGTCAATACGTCAAGTCAAAAATATTAAATTTGTAGACAATAGTAAAAGACATCCTCGTTCAAGATTAGGCTGCGGTCTGATGTATGCCCATAGCATGCGTGCTCACAGTTCTCACGATATTAATGATCGATCTGATTCGTGTTAATGACGATTTTGTTTCGGATTTGATTCGCCTGTGGATACAACCACGAAGCCCATAATCTGTATGCCATACTTGTCAATAATGAATATTCAGCATAAAGCTACGTTATTACAATTGATAGAAATTGTACTCGAGGATTCAGAAAATGACGATGAAAACTTAAATCTTATAAATCATTCATCTTCAAAGAGTGATAATGAAAATAAAGAAGAAGCTTTGAATTTATATGCAGCTTTGACTTTAAGCAAAAGAGAAAGAAAATAGGCAAAAAACCACGTGTTGAAGGCTTTGTAGAAAGAATTATCCTAAAATATACGGCAAAACAATTTAAAACATATTTTTAGTATCTTATATTTATTTCTATATTGCTGTTATTATCCTAATAATAATTTTACCAAGTTTATAACTCTTCTGTTAATTTTTGGAAGATTACTGCCAACAACCTTCGACTTTATTTAATAAGCAGTTACACTACCTGAATGCATCTATTTCACATTCACAATTCAGTCCTCTTTTTCCATGTAAATATAGTGAATGTTCACGTCGACCCATCTCCATGGTCGTCGTGAACATGCGAATTCAAAAATCCCTGACATCACTTTGCATGTAAAACGTTCAGAGAATGAAACGGACCGATCGTGAGTACACTGATAGCATGAATCGGACCACGGCCTTATTATGGATGATTGATGACCAGCACCAAAAACACGTCATAAATGATTTGTGGAATATTAAAATCGTATGTCATTAATAAAACATGTAAATCCCGAGGAAAAATCATTATGTTGATGGAACTCGTCTTATTAAATACAATATAAGAAAATCCGCAAAGAAATATTTGACATTATTAATACTTGTAATAAATAAGATCTTTTAAACTGGAGCGCAAAGCAAAGTAACGATAATGCAATATAAATTAAAATCTTGCATTATACGAACTTGCATTATACATGAATTTCAATAAGTTAAGCACTTTAACTTATCATATAAAAATGTCTACAATTAGAATCTCCCCAAACTCGAATTGTAGAGATTTCTATAATATATGAATCTTCTCAGATGCTTCACTTGTTGAAACTCATGGCAGAAAGTAATAAATTTCACATTAAAATTTAAAAAATTAGCAACATTTAATATTCTTTAGAGACTACACTCTAGTTCCTGGAAAATTTTATCTATTAAGACTTTCACAATCTTGTGCACTAAAATTTAAGATTACAAAATTTGAATGAATTCCATTAGGAGACAATTTTCTATAAGGTGTACCTCCAAACTTATTTCCTATTTATAATGTTGAAAAATTATTATTTAAGTTGTATGTTATAAATTAATTTGTTGAAAGTAAGAAAATGATTGAAGAAACTGGAAATTACAGTAGGGATCAAACGTAATAAAAATGTACCTCCATTAATTGAAAAGCTTGCTGCAACAGTAGAATAATCTATATCTATATATATATATTACATATATATATGTAAAAACGAAAAATAAATATATATTTATTCTATTATTTTAATTTTAGAGCTTATTTTCTGTTTTTATAAAATGTGAATTAGCTCACTATTGCAGTAAGTCAATTGTATTAAAGAGAAAGGAAGAAATATACAATTTAATTTCATACTTTTTCTATCACATCATATATCATTTCCTATAATCATTATATTTTGTTTAAATAATAAATAACAAATAGATTAAATGTAATAAAGTAGTATATTTAAAGGTTAAATACAAAATAGTAAACCGGAGCATGAAAACCGAGTCTGATCTAATGTATTTAATAATAATTATTAATAGTAAAAATAACAAATATTTCAACTTTAGTTAGGTCTTCTTCAGTATCATAATAACGTTATAATATAAATATAAAATAGTGTTAAAAATTAAAACAATTCTGTAATAAAGCGTTATGTGAAAACATTCGAATAAATATCAGAGTTGGTTGGTAAAACAAAAAACATGTTTTAAACATGTTTTAAATACTCTAAAACATGCTTAATCGATGTTTTTAATATATTTTAAATATGTTTTTTTATAATATGGTTTAAAGCGTATTTGAAGCATTAAAAACATGTTTAAAAAAACATTAGTCTTTGTCAACCCTGATAAATATAGAAACCTCTGATTGAAAATGTCGCAATTGTTATAACACTCGGCAACGAATTTTCATGATAAAGTATTTATGATTGTATTTATATCATAAATTTATGCTGTTTAACATTCATTGTTAGTTACAAATGTACACGTTGTTTTCTAAGAGTGATATCACATTCATTCTAAAATATGGCTATACACGGTTATTTGTAACAATTAAATGTCTTATGACTAGAAAAATCATGATTATACATATTGAAGAGAGGTTTCGTTATCAAATATTATATTAAATTTTTTAGTAAGAAGTTTTTATGTTTATTCATATATTTCCGTACAACGCTTTTTATGAGAATTTTTTAATTTTTCAATACTTACATTTATTAAAGAATGTAACAGATCTAGGTTCAACTCCCGACCAAGATAATATTTTTCACAGTAAAGTTTTTATAACATCAAATTTTGATTATTAATATTTTAAATGGATTGCATTGAAAGTATGGTAGTAACGGTACGCAATTATAACTTTGAAATAAATTCATTTAAAGAATATATATATGTATTAGTTCAACATTTAACTTCAACCATAATGGCGCTTTTTGGATTTAGGTGATATACATATAAATGGTTTTATTTCCAATCTTATTATTACTTATATTTATGTTATAACATTATCATAACACTGAAGATGATCTAATTAACATTGAAACTTTTGTTATTTTTACTACTGTCAATCATCAACATTTAGATTCGGTTCGGCTTTCATGTTCCCGTTTACTCTTTTGTATATTTTGTTTACATTATCAGAAACCGTGAACAAATACCGTAAAAACATAGATAAATATTATGTCAATAATATTTATTTATTGTTGTATATTTATTGTAATTTATTTATCGAAGAAATTAATTTGATTTATGTAATAAATAATTGTAAAGGAAATTTTAGATTGTGCATTTTTTGAAAATTTTCGTATATAGTTTCCATTTAATTTATATTTATAAATTTTTAAACAAAACATCTCTAGTAAAAAAAGTTGATAGAGAACGATTAAGAATGATAGCATTTCTATCAATTTGTATTGTTTTATCATTTAGTTTATATCATTTTCTATCGTCGACTTCGCGAGCATTACGATTGATTGGTTATGAATTATTATCGTATTTTATCAAGTTCTATAAAATTTGTACAAGATTCCTATAAGAGAGATGTAATTTAAATTAGTGAATTTACGAACCAAATTCTATATTCAAAATGATAAGATTTTTCTGTCGTTCTCTATCAACTTTTTTTATCAGGGATTGTGAAAAGAAGCTAGTCATTTTCTTGTATATTTATTTAAAAATTATTTATAAAAAAATAAAAATAATATAACAATTAAATAAACAAGTTTAATTGCTTATGCTTGCATTGTTAATGAAAACATAATACACAAATTTATCAACGCATTAAATACGTACACGCAACATACATATAATTTACAATTTCCTGATTTTGAAAACTTTTAAGTACGTTTTATGACATAATTATAATAAGAATTTTTAAGACATTTTTAAACAGGATCATTCTTTTCTTGCCATGATAGTGATCATCATTAAAATTAATTATGATTAAAAAATAAAAAACTAGTAAAAAGCATAGGTCTTAAATAAGATCTATAAAAAGATACGTATTATTATGTTACATTACAAAATGCGAAGATGATTCTTCCAATATGTAAATGTAAATAATATTTAATAAACATTTCATGTGTGTGTGGTGAATGTATACAAAATAAATGTACGATATCTCAGTCTAGAAAATCACTATATTTTATTTCGTTTGCATTTGTTCTCTAAAAAATAGTAGCTTTAAGAAATAATCGCGTAGATATTTGATAACTCTGGCCTGTGTAATATGTAATGTAATGCTGCTATATTCGTATATCTGTATATATTTTTTGCACTAATATGATATGTAAAGACATTGTGAATATGTATTCTCGCTTTAGTTTATATATAATTTTGTTATGTAATCAAGTTGCATTCCAGTACACATTGGAAAGAAAAGTTAAAACTTCAGCTACCATAATCTTTTTTAACAGTATGTGATAAAAATGACATTGTTTTCTATTGAATTGTGTAATTAAAACACTTTATTATTTATAAAATAAGTAATTGTGCTGAAATTGTGTTCCTACCTATGATGTTATCATGTGTGTATATTACGTGTATACAAAAATTCTCTTAACAATAAATGACTTATATACTTATATGAAAAAAAAAACATTTCAACTTACAGCTAGTAAATAAATCAAATTTTGTTGTATTTTGGTAGTACGTTTCCTCTGATTAAAAAGATTACTCTGGCACCAAATACGTGCCAGCAAATAATTTTGTGGAAGTAGAAAAGAAATTTGCACATTGTTTATTTTGTGGAGGTATAAAAGAAGCGCGACGCAAATCACGTAATGCGGCCACACGTATGTTGGTATTTCTTTAAAAATGTTAAATTATTAATATAAAAATTAGAAAGTTAGATTCCTTAAAACAATAAAAATAATGAAGTAAATAGGTATGGGCAATTAGAAATCGGCGCCGTAATTGTGGCGCTTAAATAACTGACTAATATATAGTCATATATCTAAAAAATATATATTTTAAAGTAGCACTTGCATATCAAAACTAATTAAATTTTTTAATTATTTTTGCGTCATCTTGGACCAAGTAGAAAGCAAAAGAATCTGATGTACTTGATTTCATTGTAGCGCTAATGTATATATTTTTTTAGTACAGAAAGTCCAGCTTGATGACAACCTGGTTTTCCTATTTTATATTTGATTTCCTACTAAATGGCTAGATAAAAAACATTTATTTTTGAGCAAAAAATTAGTAATAAGAACATTAAATTTTTAACTTATTGAGAACTTGCGATGAGGAAGGGTGTTCAGGTTAATACTAGGTCCGAAAATCGCAACTCAAAAATTCTCAAATTCTCGTAGTTTGAATAAAAAAGTTATTTGTAAATTTTTATTTTAAGCAGTAATTTTTCAAATAACAAGAATTTAAATATGACCATTTATATGCTACGTTTAGATGATCGCCTATCCATGAATTACATTTGCAGTAGTATTAATGACTGTGAACACTCACTTCAGCACACTCGCTAATAATATAGGTGACAATCAAAACATAGTTTATAATTGGCCAGATTTAAATCGTTACATCTAAAAAAATATACTTAAAATAAAAATTTACGATAACTTGTATTTATTTTTCCAGAAACTTCCTTGTTATATTATTTTGAGTAGCAAATTTTGAGAAATATTTTATATATATATATATATATACATACACACACATTTCTCAAAATTCATACACATATATCTACATACATATATATGATACTTTTAAATTATTACTTTATATACATTCCAATAGAACTTTGTAATTTATGCAAAGTAAATTAAAAAATATATTGAATATAACTGATAAAGATGAATTATTGTAGATTCTGTCCCGCATTGATTTGTTGATTTTGTGTTTCTAATGCCGACTGAGCCATGTTTATCTCCTCCATTCTTTTGCGCACCATTTTAGGTTGCACCTCCATGAATATTTCCATTATTTTATGATTAGTATGGATGTATTTCTGTGCACAATTACTTATGCAGAGGTCCTACAAATGTCAGTCAATTATATTCATGTTTCAATACAATTATACATAATTCAATATACTTTTATAAAAATACTTACTTCATCAGAGGTAATTTCCCGAGAGAGGAAAGTAGTTGCACATTTTTTGAAACACATTTCAGATATTTGGTTGTACAGCAAAAGAAAGTCTTTGAACTACTGAAAACAATTGTCTCATAAATTTACAATTTAATATGATTAATATACAATATTTATAACAAAAAATTGTATAGACACAACAATGTTAAATTATTAGTTAAGTTCATTTGAATAATCAAATCTTATAATAAACAGTAAAATATTAAAGATATGCACATTTCTTAGTTGTAATGTATCCATGTAGGTACAGCTGAATATTTTTAACAGTTATAACTATTTGGTAATTATTTAGATGTTTACAGTGGTGGGTAAATATTACTACTCCTTCCACTTCAAATTTCAATAAAAATATATTCACTCAATGCGTTTTCGTGTGTATAAATAAAGGGTAATTATACAGTTTAGCTCTCGCAGTCCAGAAATTAATAAAATTGGGCTCATTTGACGCGTTTTTGCATGAAATAAAAGAATCTTGTAGACAAAAGTGTTGCTCTGTCTTGCGAACTGAAATATTCGTTAAATTTGACGACTATTTAGGTTAACTCTAGCAACTGACTTCGGTCACATGCATGTGTGGCGACCGCCACCAGAGGTCCAACATGTATGTATTGTACATATGCATACAAAATTGAACTGAATTGGACTGCACGTGAGCAAGCTCTGAAACTTCCAAATTGAAAAACGCAGAAACTTCCAAACGCGAAATGAGCCTAATTTTATTAAAATCGATGTTGAGAGGAGGATTCTAAATAATTCATCAATTTTTCAGATGACGTAACAAACTGGAACTTAACCAAAAATAGTGCAAAAGTTATAAGTTTATGAATATGAGGTTATGAAACCATGTGCATCTTTCTCGGTGCTTCCACATCATGTCTAGTTATCCTTGAATGATTATACATATAATATGATGAAAACATTACACGTCTAAAGATCTTACTTCCATGTGTAGAGCTAGAAAATGGTTGAACCCATTGACACATTAAAGTCATTGTTGAGATTTTGCACAAAGTGCAGTCTGAATTAAACATAATATAAATACTATGTACACAATTGGTCGAAAAGTCATATTTATTAAGAATAATGGAATTGTTTATAGGATCCAAGCAAGTTTGCTGGTACTGCCGTTGCTGTAATTCCAGCAGTTGCATTATTGATGTTTTTGCTATAGAGAAAAAGGAAGAGAAGATAGAAGAATAGAGTCAGAAGACAATTATATAGATTTTGGATTATTTGACTGATATATATGCATTCACATTATATATGTTTGAACAAAATGAACATCCAGATGAAAGAATATATTTTGTAGGAGTATAGGTATTTAATGAGGAATATGTCGAAAAAAAATAAAAACTTATTGTCATTTTTTGTCCTAAAGTGTATCACTTGACATATTTTAAATTGTTCTTAAATAGAGCTGTACTTTTGATTCTATATCTGTAGACAATAGTTTTAAACTTTAATGTTATAAAGTTTGCTTAAGTTAAATAACAAGAGAATTATATTTTTCCTTATTCAAAAAATTAACTAATTTTAGCATTTATTTTTTTTTAAAGCAAACCAATTTCTAATTTTGTTAAGCACGTAAACATGATACTTAGCTTACCTTAGTATAAGATCAAAAGAGACCTAACCCAAAGTAGAATAAATACCAACATCAATTAAATTGATTTTTCTGAATGAGAAAAAAATAAAATTTTCTCTCATTGTTTAATCTAAACTCATATGTTAAAGTTTTAAATTATTAGATGTGGGATCAAAGATAAGTGTACAATTATATTTAAGAACAACCTTTTGTGTCAATTCATATGTCTTAAATCAATAAAGGGCAAAAAAACTGTTTACATTTCTTTTTTTTTGACATGCTTCATCAAATCAAAAAATTTGAAAAAAAATATTGAATATAATATATAAATATTTTTTTTTAGTTACATTATAGTAAGAAAAATTCTTCATATATATGATGTTAAAATGCTACTTTATATATTTCCTTAAATTACTCTACTTGCCTAAAATAATAAGCAAGTAGAGTACGCTACTTATTCCCATAAGTCTTTCAATCAATCAAACTCGTATACATCCTAGCTATAGAAGAAAAACAATTCATTATTATCAGGCGAGAATGTTTTATCAAAGAATTATTTGTACATGATTATATAACTTCGAGAATTACATACGTAAACGAAAATCTATTAAGAATAAGTTATGATGTTAAACTGACATATTTAACATCATAACTTATCAGGAAACACGTGTCTCGCGTTCCTAATAGACCTATATCTTTCTCTTCATGTTTTTTAATTTTTAAAAGAAAATACATCGTCAATCGCAATTGTTGATAATTTTGTTTACATATGTAATCATCGAAATTATACAATCATGTATATACACTCTTTGACATAACTCTTTGACAGAACACATTCTCGCCTGATAACGAAAAATTGTTTTTCTCCTATAATGAGGCTATACATGAGTTTGATTGATTGAAAGACTTATGGGAATAATCAATGTTTTTTACTTACTTATTATTTTGAGGAAATATATAGAGTGGCATCTTAACATTATATGCGAAGAATTTTTCTTACTATAATGTAACTAAAAATTATATTTATATTCCATTTTTTATACAACTGATGAAGATTATGTAAGTATAAAACGTCTTTCAATCGTTTATATTGTTTACATTTTTATATTTCAATTAGTCATTCTTTGTGTATAACCATTTTAGTGATATCGAGGGCGATATATTGCATTTGATTCTTACTCTAATCTTTTTGATACTCCTTATATTTTCCTCCATGATTCTTTTAATAAAGATCTGTTTAAATTGCAACGGAGAAAAAAGATATTAATAAAAAATCACATTTTCTCGATACTTTGAAATGATGTGGTTCTTTTGAGATTAAATTTTATACAAAATATTCTTTCATTTGGATGTTCATTTTGCTTCCTGGATAATGTATGGACTTGAAATCCTCTTATGTTGCTATATCCTTTTGGATAATTTTATAAATATTTGTTTCTAATATTAAATTAAAGTAAGATAAAGTTGACATACTTTTAAGATTCATTTTAATATTCTATCATCGTCGATTATATTTATGAACAAGTGTTCTAAAAATGTATTAGAATTTCTGTACAATATCTGTATAGTATATCTAATAAATTAATGACCTAATATAATTCTTAATTCCCTAATAAATATTAATGACTTAAGGATACTCTCCAAAACATTCTAAGAAAATTTTTACTGGAAATATATAGTATATATATAACATATACTATAGCAGAGAGAAAAATTTCCATTAGAAAGAATGTTTTGGAACGTAGCCTTAATTGGAATGTAATCTAAAGTTTCTATTAAGAGTTTGAATCGATTCAAAATTAAGTTTGGATGAGCACTCTTAAGATGTTTTTTATTTTTTCATATTGACGCTTGACGCTCATTTTTAACGTCAAAACAGATCACGTGACAAAAATTGACGAATATCAAGCGTTAATTTTTATCATGTGACCTATTTTGATGCTAAAAAATGAGCACCGAGCGTCAGTATGAAAAGCTTACGTTGGAAACATCTTGTTAATTAAAATCTATCCAAAAAATTTTTTTAAGAGTCGAAATAAGATTTAGTGGTGTCTTCATAATAAGAGCGTTCATCATTACAACTCAACTCCGACTCGATTCAAAACTTCAGTGAAAAGTAAGAAATATTAATTACAAAGATGGCGTTACCATCGTCTCGTACTGCCACTAGTTCGCGCATGATCATTGAAATTTCGTATTGAAATCTGAAAAATCACGTTACTCTCTAAGTATATTACACCAGCGACTGATAGCGAGTGATAGTACTGATAGCGAAAGTGGCTAAGTTATAACTGATTGCAACTAGTGAAGGTGTTTACGTAACTCGGTTTTTCGCGAATTTCTTTTCCAGTGTTAAATTATTAAAAGTAATCAAAGATTTGAGCTGATAATGGGTCTGCTGTCTGAAGGAAGTCCCCTGAGCTGGGAAGAGACGAAGAAATTATCCGATCACGTGCGCAAGCATGGGGTTATTCAGTTTATTAATATGTACAAGAGACTTCGAGATAGACAGGGAGACGTTCTCAAGTGGGGCGACGAGGTAATACATTAAATTTTCACTAATTGCAGCATATTGTATTAGAATCGATTTAATGAACAGTGTCAATTCTTGAAATGTCACGTCATCGTAATTATGCGAACTCATTATCACCTAACCTTAACATTCGTTTGTTGCAATGTTAAAGGCCTGCGGATAATGAAAGAAATATTAGGAACAGGAATAAGTATGTATATTGAGATTTTAACCTATCAGAAACTGGTTATGCTGGAATATACGTTTTCTGATAGGTTAAAATCTCTATACTCCTATTCATAATACTTTCTCTATTATGCGCAAGACCTAAATTACATTCGCAATCTAATACTGCATATTTTATCTTTGTATCTTTTGCATGATTGCAAAGATTTACATCATATGTGTAATATACATGTAACGTGGGACATAACGAAAAGAAAAATTTTGGAAAAAGCAGGAACTTTTTACAAAAACCTTTGATCTATTTTCCAACAATACTGTAATTTGAACGACTGTCAATAAATAAATAAATATGTGAAATTGTATATAAAGGTTAGGTTAATGCAGTATAAGGTTCCTGCCTCCAATTTTCTTGTAATTTTGTAAAATTGTGTATTTTCATTTATAGAATATATTCAGTAAAAAAAAAAAATCGTTACTTAGGGCAGAATTCATAGATATTACTCAAAATTCGAAATTCTTAAACTAATGCTTAAAATGTCATGAACTAGTAGACCCAAAGAGGTCGGTATTCATAATCGGTTCTTATCTTAAGATCATCTTAAATAATATCTTAAGATGCTAATACGACCCTCTGGCCGGTATTCATAGTCGGTTCTTATTTCAAGACTCTTAAGTAATGTCTTAAGATGCTAAAGCGGCCCTCTGATTGGTTCATAACTCTTCAAGACTGAACTTAAGACGGTCTTGAATATAAGAACTGACTATGAATACCGGCCTCTGATTGGCTTATGACATTTTAAGATTGTACTTAAACCAATCTCACGTATATAAGAATTGATTATGAACATCGGCCAGAAGCGTATTAAGACACTGCTTGAGGCAGTCTTGAGATTAAGAATAAACTATGGATTCTGATGTTAATTCTTATTTTTAGTTTTTAAATGTCGGTAACTTAACAATTTAATTGTAATTTTCTGCTTAATTCTCTGGTTTAAGGTCAACAGGAGTGACGAACTAACTCATTTATTGTTTCCTTATTTGCGGTGTAATTCCTATCTGTGCACTCTATTATTTTATCTATCATATGTTGTCTTATAAAAGAAATATTTTGCTATGAGATTTGCTTTGGCTTATCTTTTATACTTATTTCATTTATATAGCTTATATTTAGTTATGAAACATGCTAAAAAGCCGAATTTTATAATTTTACTTTTAAAAATGTTATAATAAATAAAATGTTATGCTTCTTATTCGCGGTGCAGATACATTTTTTCATGACTCAGTAAAATAACTGATACAATTT